AAAACATCGAGCTGGGATGGAGCTGAGCCCATGAGTTTCGAAGGAGCCCAAATTCCTGCAGGAGGGACTTTTGCCTGTGGTTCAGCACAGAGTCCCCAGCCCGACTCCCATATCAAAGCGCTGCCCTGAGTGACGGGCACAGGACGTGCTTTGTACCGCTCTCAACTCATTAGGCCATGAAATAACTTCAATCCTGCCAGYGCAGGAAAGAACAACAGATGCCGGGTTTGCATTATTGGCATTGTTTAGTCCAGCAATCTTTAGACATTTGGGTCAAGTTTCTACAAATTTGCAGCTTTCACCCAAGCGGGGCATCATGTGTCCTCACCCCTGCCCTGACCCTCCTGACTGAGGGTCCTCTCTGGCCCTGCCCTTTGTGTGTCAACAATTAACTGTGTAACTTGATTTAATTTCTGCCTGTGCCAGGGCATAAATCAAGGCTTCACTGAGATAAGAGGCCCATTGTACCCCAGAAGGGAAGACTCTGGAGGGTCCAGGAGCCGTGCTCTTCCTGCTTCCCTCTCCTCTCCATCCTTTCCCTCTCCTCCTGCTCTGCCCCCGACCTCACCGCATGTTTTCCTCCACAGACCCGTTCTGCTTTCCCCCAGACACCGTTTGCGCTCCCACTTTCTCTCTTCAAATGAGCAACCAGGTGCTCACCCTTTAAGCATCAATGGGTTTCAGGAGCRACGCTCCAAAAAGACCTAAGGGAGAGACAAGTAAGCTCACAAATCCCCCTGGAAGTGATCTGCGCTCTTGGGCAGGGCACATCCATGACATCCACCCTGGGACCGGGACATTTGTCTCAGAACCACGGGATGGTCAAGCAGCTTTTCCCTTTCCCCAGCTGCTAGCCATGATYGGGTTCTCTGGGAGCCACCCTCAGGGATGGGATGCTGCCCTAAAAATGCCCTTCTGGAGCCATGMAGCTACAGATACCTTTCAAAGGCATCAGCTTTTGTGTGTAAACCCAGGAGCTCATTGTGTTTATTTAAATGATCTATGGAACTGACTACAAGAAGCAGGGAGACAACATCCTGAGGTCGAAACAAGCAACTAAATCGACTATATGGATTCATTCAACACAAAAAGCTGGAAAAGCGYGATGAGACCTGCTGGAAACCTCAGCCTTCAGAGAAACAGCCCGCAGACCACAGTCACCAGGATTTTCCCACTCTAGCTGCCCCACACCCGCACAGCCTGGAGCTCACCTGCCCGAGCCCTCTCCTGGCTTCCCTGTCCCCCAGGCCAARGGCAGCCTGAGCCGTGGGGCTGCCGGCGCCACGCGTGCCGCTCGCAGGGAGACATTTGGCTAAACCCTTGTGCGCGATCTGCTGCAGAGGCGGCTAAAAATAACCCAGCCGTGCTCAGAGAACAGGCTCTGCTGATGCGAACGCCCAGCTGCGCGCAGAAAGGCGCCCTTTGCGCGGCTCAAGGCGGTGAGAAGGAAGGTGGGCTCGGCCCCACCTGTCCCCCATGTGTCTGCGCGGCGCCGAGCCAGCCCTGCAGCCCGAGGGGGTGGCACGGCAGGGCCCTGCCTGGCACTGTCGCTGTGCAGACACGGGCAGGTGCCACCAAAGCCTTTAATGAACAGTATGGGGGG